AATTTTGTGGATGCTTCTGTTAAGATTTTGTATGGTCCCACTATGTGGGTAACAGATTGACAATAGGGAAAATTTTGGCGAGACCATTTTATAAGGATTTGTGCTGGGATGGAGAGTGATTTCCCTTGAAATGCTTTTAGCGTATCAAAGTGCTTCCCTACGTTTTTTTCTTTACCTCAATTAAGCTGCAGCCTTATGGGTGATATTAACTATTGCTAACCGGAATCACGGGAAGAAAATTCATCTGAATTGGTGTTGTATGTGTTCGCGTGGTTTTTGTTCACACCACTTTTGCGAGCGTGCCAGTGTATTTGTATAAAATACTCAAAATTATAAATGAACAGAAACTTATCCCTTTTTCGTTGGCTAACCTCAGGCGAATGTGTGGGAGAGAAAATAGTAAGAACTCACAAGGTTCTTTTTCTGCCTTGTTTGCAATGACTTTTTATAATAGTGTTAAAAGAAAAAAAAAATACAATTTAAAGTAAATGAACTGGCTGAATTGAAATAGACAATAAAGGAAATCGGCCGAATTGAAATAGACTAAAAAAGTAATGCTTGCAATGGAATGAACTAGCCGAATTGAAATGACTACAATCTGATCAAAGATATGCCATTGAATCCGTTTGCACAAAACAATGATTAAATTTGTAAATAGCATAATTAAGCATTGCAAAAAAGAGTAAGTTACTGGAACTTAGTTTCTTCAAATGAAATTTGCCATTTGGACAAAAGATTTGAAGATAAGATGACGTTGAGCCATTTGATGAATTTTGAATTCATGCTGTTTTGTGGGTGGTGCTGGACAAATTGAAATGAATTACAATACTTCTATTTATAGAAGTTTTTAATCAACTTATTCCCTAATTAATTGCTTTGAAAATCTTCTTCTCCTTGATTTTCTTCTCTTCGTAATTCAAACTGGGTTAAAACCCATAAATATTTCTACTTCCTTTTATTTCTTGCTTCAGTTAAAAATCTTTGCTAAAGAAAAACCTTCCTTGATTTAGTCAATGCCAGTTGCTAGAAAGTTGCTGAAAAGTTGCTAATTTTTAGCAACTTCTTTCCTTATGCTTGGCAGGCGTATTTTCCTTAAATGGCCCAATAGCCATTTGTAGCTTTTAAACTTATCCATGACTCACGCAGCAGCCCCTTTTTTGAATTCCTTCTCCAACTAAATCCCTATTTCATAGGGATTTTCTTTTAGCCGAAACTCCAGTATTTATTTCCCAGTCAAACAACCCATTTGAATTAAATCAAACATCAGTTGTTATATTTCAGCAACAACCTTATTGATAAGGTGGCTGAATATATTTCCCTAGATCTTCTCAAAATGTTTCTCAATTGTCTGTCTTCTCACAAAATCATATTAAACACTTGTCGGCTCCTTACTGGACCACGTCACCACGAAGGTGGCTACCAAGTTTTGGTGCCAACAAATGCCCTCTAAATTTCAAAAGCCCTTATCACTTATGATAAGAAGGGTTTTTTGGAATTTGATCGGCCAAAACTTGAATTTCAAATATTGATAATAAATCTTCACTCCACCTAACCACCTGCCCTAATGGTTATCAACTACCCATTTAAAGCGGTGATTAGATAAATCCAAAATTACATCCAACTAGTATTTAGCTCCGTATCTTCTAAAACCCTGAAATCATTCTTCCTTAGCCTTCGAGTCGCTGTAGTAGAAATTTTCTTTCTCAGTTCACAACAATAGAAATTCCTTCCCTTATTACTCTTCTATGGCTCCTAAGAAAACCAAATCAACAGATTCCACTTCAATCCCTCAACCTTCAAATCCTTCGACTCATGGCAATATCATTGAGAAATCCCTAAAGACCCTTTCTCCTTACAAGTATTGCTTCAATACTCTCATAGATCTACGCACCAATTTCAAGGGTTTGGGTCCTGCCTTCCTTGATGAAGCGCCTACATTCATCTTGCCCTTCTACCCCTCAGCCAACGTGTTTCCGTTTCTTCAAACTCTCCCTCCTAATGAAAATGGTAGTTTGCCAAATTTTTATTTTAGGACATGGCATGTTCCCAATGATGCTTGGATCAGTTGGGTCGATCGGGTTGGGGCTATGAAAGGTGACATGTGGAAAGCTTGCGGTATTTATGATGCCATCTAAATGAGCAAAACAAATATTGCTCAAGATAGGGCCCTAATGGTAGCTGCTATATTCAATTGGTCGACCACCACCAACTCCTTACACTTGAAGTGTGGTATAATGGCTCCAACCATTCAAGACATGTTTTTTAACCGGCCTCAAGCCTTTTGGGATTGATGTGAGCAGCTTGTTAGTAGAGGAAGATTCTCACTTCATTTTCCCTTCTAAACAAACTGGAACCAAATCTTCCAAGTCTTCTTATGGTAAGTATTTAACTTCTACCATGGATCCTCGCATTCCTGTTAATGAAGCCGAACATATTGCCTTCTTATTGGCCTGACTGAATAAGTTCCTCCTGTGTGTACTGGCTTTTCAAGTTACCAAAGATTACATCCATGTGGCCGTTGCACTTTCTAGAGGTAGACCCCTTGCTTTAGCCCCTTTGGTTCTTTCTCATTTATACAGGAGAATTTATGACTTACTTAATTCCAACTTTGGACGTTATGGTGGCCCCCTTTGGTTATTTCAAATTTGGTTGTAAGTATATTTCCCTGAGTTAGGGCGTGTAATGAGGCCTTCAGCCAATGACCCACTTCTTTCTGTAAATTATGCATCATCCGTATCCAAATCTCACTCATTTGGGGATTGTTTCAATTTTTTCTACTCTGGCTGCGAGCCCATGACCATAAGCCAATTTCTTCCATTTTCTCTTGTTCTCAAGCCCCTCGATGTGGTGGTGGATCACCCACTGAGGACACGTACGTCACATTCGGAGATCCTACGTTAGTAACGGTCCTTTCCACAGTTTTGGGACTTTATTGTCGAGTGAGTTTTGCTATGGAGATGGATGGGTAGTTGATATTGGAAATGAGTTCTTCAATTGAGTCTTTTGGACAGACAAAGTTCGTGTTTGACATTGCTCTTATGTTTTTATGTGAATAGCCATAGTAACAAAGGAAATGGAGGTAATCTTGTGTTGTGGTTTCAAAGACTAGACCTAGGTCAAGAGCTTTGAGTGGTTTTATTTCTCCAACCCCAATTTCATGTGGATTTGCAAGGTAATCTGAGCTATTTGTCAATGGTTTCCCCATGTTATTGGATACACTTGCTGTAAATATGAAATACAAGGCTAATAATGTCAGTGTTATAATAGAATTAAAATGAAATTTTTAGTGAATTAATTTTGATATTGTGTATAAACCTTTTCATTTTTGTAAGTGAATGACTCATAACACACCTTTTAGTTCTATAACGACTCAAATCCTCAACCCTATCTTTTCGATTGAGGTTATTTTTTTTATTCGATTCGATCCTATAACCTAATTCATTATATGTAATATTAATTATATAATCCATTCGTCTCAAAATAAATGTCTACCTTTCTATTTTTATCTTTCCCAAAATAAGTGTCCCATTTGAAAAGTCAATGTACTGTTTAATTTTTTTTTTTTATTATTTTTTTTGTAATATTACCAATTTAACATTCTAGCAGTGATCTATAAAAAATAAACCATCACATCAATGTGGACCGGCTAAGGGTAAATTTGGTAATTATTCACTACTAATACAATAAAAATCATTCTCCTAAAAAGTTAGATTTCCAAAACGAGACACTTATTTTGGGACAGAGGGAGTAATTCTTTTTGACCTATCAATGCCGTATCCGTGTCCCATTTAAAAAAAATTTAACATATCGCCGTGTCCTACCAGTGACACTGTGTTTGCATGTGTGCTTCCTAGACTATAATCTTTGAAAAGAAGGAAACAATATTATATTCGCGTGACAAATTTTTGGTTTCAATTTTAGCTAGTTAAAAAGAATTTATAGTGATTTTATTTAATTAAATTGTAGCTAGTTAAAAAGAGTTTATAGTAATTTTATTTATTTAATTATATTAGTACATTTTTCATGGAACTTGTGAAGATCTCAAACAATATAGGGAGATGGTATTAACAACTCCACTTTTTTCTCCAACTGCACTTCACATGTTTAATTTTTTAATAAATGAATTGTCAAAATTCTCTTCAAAATTATAGTTTGAGATTAATTATGTAATTATTGTAGAGTTTAAATATGTTTTTGAGGTGAAAGTCTACAATATTCCCATTTGATGGATGATCCAACGATTAAGAGCCCTAGGGTACGATACCCCCGGGATATTATAGACTTTCTCGTTTTTATGGGGCCATAATCTCTATTTTTTATTTTATTTAAAAAAGTAAGTAAATTGAAAATTGAAATTAGTAGGGTGTACCTGTAGTCATAAGTGTTGATTTGATTACGGTGGGGTGCATCGATTTTATAAAGGTAGCTGCTCCAGTCACATGAGGGCATGCCATTGAGGTTCCTGATTTGAACCCAAACCATGATTCCTTCCACCCCATTGGAACACTATCTTCTCCATCTGAAGTCGTTGCGCCTAGTATGGCAATTCCGGGAGCCGTTATATCTGGCTATATCACAAATTAATTACGGATAATAATCTGGAGTTTGAAAGTCAGACAATTTCAACTGATTTATGTAAGGATGGTCTTCACCACATGTGTAATGTCATCATGACATCAATCCGTACTCACATAAAAGTAGTTGAATTTAGGAATGCACATAGTTCGATTCGGTACGATTCTTTGCGGAACCGGAACCGTTTCCAATGGGTCCTAGAAATTAGAACCGGAACCTTAACTGTTGGGAAATGAAACCGGAACCGAACCGGTTCCACGGTTCCGGTTCCTTTTTTTTTTTTTTTTAATAACTTTTTTTTTTTTAGTAATACCTTGACTAAGGCAATTTCTTGGGCCACATTTACATCCAAACAAGCATCAATAGGATATATATATATATATATATATATATATATATATATATATTGGGTAAATATAGGCATATATATTAGTAATTATATAATTAAAAAAATAATATATATATATATATACGGTTTCGGTTCCGGTTCTAGTTACAGACTCTTGGACCAGAATTTGAAGGTTCCTAAAATTTGGAAAAGAAACCAGTGTTTTGGCTCTAATTCTTAATAGTTCCATTGGTTCTTCTTTGTTCACCCCCGAATATGTCCAACTCTTCAACTTCCTATCATTATTCGTTAATTATATAATATTAATCACCTCTTTTATTTCTTTTTTTGTTTTGGCTGGCTCAATTCTACTTAATATTCATGTACTATCATTTTGTGACACACGATCCCAGATTTGTTCACACATATTTCCTTAACAATATAGCATGAGAAAATGATATATACGCCCAACACTCCAATCCAAGTGTTGGGGCAGTTTGACGACAAGGGAGGTGCTGTGCAATTTTTTTAATAATTTTTTGTTTTTGTTTTTATAGTTCAAAGGGTACGTGCCAAACAATGATAGCAAGGGGATTATGTCTAATTTAGCCTAATTATTATAAGAACTTGATCATAGAATTTTCACATATATATACCTGTGTATATATATCACAGGATGTAAAGGTGAATATATATACACACACACACACACGCACACATACACATACAAATACACATACACACACCTTAAGAATATTTTCTGTAAGCCCTCCGGGACCTCGTGACGAGAAATAAGCAACAACAGGAGCTGGTCTAAACCTTCGAATTTCATTTGTTGCAAGTACAGTTGCAGTTGGTTTCCTGCTTCAAAAAAAAAAAAAAAAAATCATATAGTTGAGCCTTCTTTTTTGAGAAATGAGAAAATATAATGCAATCATATATAAGAAGTAAATAAGTCAATGCACAACCTTATTCAGACTTAATTGCTTTGTTAAGATACTTATGGTCTGTTGGGATAGTTTTTCTATTTTCGGAGAAGTGAATATGAAAAATTGTACAAAAAATAGAAAAGAAAAGAAAGTATGTTTTAAGTCTTTGGGCCGAGTGTTTCAGGTCCAACTCAAAAGTTAAAACTATTAGGTAGTGACACTCAACTCATACTAATCCAATGTGGGACACCTCTAACATTGTCTTCCATTCGGATTTAAAAACTTAAGCTATTAGGTGGTGCTAATACTTAACTCATACTGATCTAATGTGGGACACCTCTAACACTGTCCCACAATCGAAGTCGCAACGCCTTCATTACAATCGAGCCACCTGCCTATTTGGGTGGGGCGTCCGGCCCGGATCAAGAATTGAGTCGGGCTCTGATAACAACTATAACGGCCTGAATGTTTTGTAGTTTGACCCAAAAACTTAAGTATATTTACGCAATTTACTTTTCATTCGGATCGAATGAGTGACATCTCTAACAATTAACCTATAAATGTAAAAGAGTGATTTTTTAGACACCATCTGTTCCCCCAAAATAGAATTAGCCCCAAAAAGGTAAAAAAGAGTGATTTTTTCAACAATTAGCAACCTTTTGGTGGTGTAATTAAAAAAGTTCAAGAGTAAATTGTTTAGTTCAGTTTGATCGACTTCATGTAATGGTTAGAATATCAATTCTAGGCATAACAGATGATTAATTTTGTTAAAGTACTTTTTCTTACCTGGTAGAGTTAATATAGTCTAGAATTTGGGACCCAGCAATATTCCCATTTCCCAACTTCTGTAAATGGAAAAACTCCATAATCAAACGGCTCATCTTTCTCCACGTCATCAATCAAAATCAATCCTTCGGCTTTACAATCTTCAACAACTAACTTCTTGATTCTCGTTGCAACGCTGAAGTCAGTTTCAACACAGACAACTATTTTTCAGCAACTTTTTTTGAATCTAGTGATCCTGGAAAGCAATTCCTGCATCTTAGAACAAACAATTCATAACCCTTTTCCACTAAGATGGTTTAGGACACATCTATACTTATATATATATATATATATTTTCAAGGTAAAGATCTTATTTTGCATTTGAAAGTATATAATCAGTGTCTTGAATTTGAAAAAAAGATAAAAATTAACTCAAAATTTTAACTAAATTTTTTTCACTTTCAAATTTAAGTCGCCAATTCGGTGCTCCCACTCATAGCATTAGAGAAATTTTAATCTTCTATTTTTCATTTTAGAAGAATAGATAGTTTTAATAGTTTGAGAATATATATTTACTAGCGATATGTAACATATGTGTAACACTAACTAATTATTCTTCTATCGAAAAGTGTAGCCAAATGGTATTTGTTCATATTTCAAAATAAAAAATCGAGAGTCTTCAATTAAGAAAGTGAATGTATGATGTGAGTTACAATTACATCCAAGAATAATTGTTCTCCTAGCTATCATGTATATGTGCAAAGTTCGTCGAATTAAAAAAAAAAAAAAAAACTACGATATATAATGCACAACATCTTTTCAATAAATTTTACCCAAAAATATATAAATAAATAAAATAAATTCTTAACAATACCTAGCATCCGATACAGGGGTAAACTTAGAAGCAATGCTTTCTCCAAACGCAAGAGGATAGGCTTTTGAGCGTGTAAGGTTTGAGAAATTGATAGCAGATCCATATATAAGAATGCAAAATAAAATTCAATACCGATTAACAAACTAAGAGTAATAATTAAATAAATAAATTTACGTGAGTCTCATATGATGTCATAAGACGTACAGTTATTATTTCATCTTACTTGTAATGTTTTTCCATTTCCGAGCACTATAGTCGACCTGAAATCACGGTCAATGCTAGAAGCTGCAACAGTAAAGATCCATGGTTCAGTGTTAACAACGGTGAAAGGATCAGGTCCATCGTTACCGGCCAAGCAAATTACCTTGACTCCCCTTTGTTAAGCATGGAAGGCTCCAATGCTATGGGATCATCCAAGAAGTCTGGTTGAAAGAGGTTCATTCCAATGGAAATCGAAATGATATCAACTCCGTCCATAATCGAATCATCGATGGCCTTGAGTATGGTTGAACCCGAGCAACCTTGTTGCGAGCATGCCTTGTAAGCTGCAATCCTTGCAGAAGGTGAGCCACCCCTCGCTGTACCCCGAGCGAGGCCATAGTAACTAGCATTGGCAACAGGTGCACCAGCTGCAATAGATGTGGTGTGTGTTCCTTGCCCAACAGTATCCCTTGGAGACCCATGAGTTGGCCGCTTATTGTTGGAAACAGATTTGAATTCTGTGTTGTAGAATCTTGCACCTATCAACTTCCTACGACATACATATACGTACAAAGATATGTAAACAAATAATAAAGATAACATATTACTCTTTGTTCCATTTTAGATTTTTAAAGTCAAACTTTTTAAGAGATTAATTTTTAATATTTTTTTTATTACATTGTAATGAATGAATTTTCAAATTTACTGTTTGCTTTAAAATAATAATGTTTATTCTTTTTAAGGTAACGAGGGTAAATTAGGAATACAACAAAATATAGTACCTTAGGTTTTGAAATGGACGACTACAAATAGAAAGATAGACAACTAATATAGAACGGAGGGAGTGTACTATAATGAGCTTATTGATAACCATGAATGCGTGGGCAATACAAGCTAGGGAGTATACTATAATGGGCTTATTCATAACCATGAATGCATGGGCAATACAAGCTATCCTTTGGATTACCAAGAAAATAAATTAAAAACTTTTTAAAAATTAACATGTTAATCTCTAAAATAAGACTAATTCCCGTAACTATTGAATGTGTGGAAATGTAACTTAGGAAAGGCAATGTTTGCAAAGCTTATGATATTTCATTATCCTTGTTTGGAATAGATATTGGGTTAGGAGGCATGCCAACAACATGGCATGCGTGGTTCACCCCATATCTTGTTCGTTATTTACTAACCTTATGGTTGAGAGACTTATTTTATTATTATTATTATTATTATGACAAATGAGAAAGTTTTATGCAATTAATCTTTATTATTTGGAATTGCTTTATTTGAATTTGAGATTTCAAGATAGTAACTATGAGATCCTATCTTTCCAGCAACCTGAGTGAAAAAATTTAACAATTTCAAATGATTTTAATTAAAAATGGAGAAAATATGTTCACCTATTACAACTAGACTTCTCGAAGTCAGATCCTTCCATGCACGTTCCTTCCCATCCTGAAGGGATTTCTCCAACATCGTCATCTCTGAAACTTGGAGACTCCGGCCATATTCCTAATGCAACATAATCAAACGGGAAAGAAATTTTAGTTAGTGATTAACTAATATTAATTGTTAAATATTGATGAATAGGGTATTATAATTTTGCTTGGTTGGTTGCCAAGAGGAAAGGAAAGTAAAACTAAATATATAACCATTTAGGATTAATTTTACTGACACCTTCTCAAGTTTGACCAAATATCACATTGAAATATCTTTCGAAATTTAATATTACTCACATTACAAAGGTTTGGTCCGTTTTTCACTTACACTCCAAAAGTTACTTTTCAGATGTGTCAGACTACTTTTACATATAAAAGACATTATTACCCCTTTTGACTATGTGCTGTCTTATTAAAATATTGTTTAATGTATAAAAAGACTTAACTATCCATAGAACTCATGTTAAGTGACTAAAATACCCATTGACACTACACTCTCATCAATCACCACTATCACCCTCACCACCACCACCAATCATACATATATATATATATACATACACACACACACACACACACACATATATTAGAAAAGATAAAATTACACATATAATCACATATATTAGAAAAAATAAAATTACACACAATAATTTCTATATATAAACAAACATATATATATATATATATATATATATATATATATATATATATATATATATATATATAGAGAGAGAGAGAGAGAGAGAGAGAGAGAGAGATAGAAAGTACACAGAGAGACAAACTCAAGAGAATGGCAGAGAAAACCAAACACACCAACTCGTGAGGCAGTAGAAGAGGGTTTCGACTACTGCAGTGACCTATATCGATCAATGGCAGAGGAAAACATCAAATCAAAAGGCTGTGGAAAAGGGTTATAACGGCGGAATAGGAAGTTGTGGTGGTGGTCACACCCAAACCTATCACCACCACCACCACCTGCACAAGAAACCCACGCATAACCGTCTGTTGCGAAATCACGACAATGATGCCGACTACATTAAACCAAACTTCTAACAAAAATGTAACACAATTATCTGTTTAACCCATGATTAGCCTTTTTCCATAGAACAGTGAGCTCAGTGGAATTAACCGGCCAAAATATTCCTATATTGAACTCATTGACAAATGCAATCCCTTTTCCCCAGCCAATGATAAGAATGCTATAGACACTGAAATTTTGTGATGGCCTAATAGCCATCCGATTGGTCAAGAAGTCAAAACATTCCTGATTAATTAAATTTCATGATCGCGAGTCCCAACAATGAACACGTGTCAAAATCATGAAGGCATATACCTTTAAAGAAAAGTGCGGTTAAATTCAAATTTGAATTTGAATTAATTTCCATATAAAAGGGAACAAATCATTTATTTGATTTCAATATTAAAGGAAACAAATACCTTATTTGATTTCAATATAAAATGAAACAAATCTCTTATTTATGGAAAAATCGCATAATTGGGGAGTTTCCAAATTAGACGACCCACTCTTTGGCCTATAAATACAAGGCCACCTTACAAGAGAAAAGGAGATACAGAGACAGACACACAGACAGACACAGAGAGACGAAGAAAGAAGAAGAGAAGACCAAAGCCTTACCGAATCTTTATAGTCTCTGTAAACGAATAACAACAAAGGACACCACACAAGTGTCATTCTTCGATCATTGAAGCCCTTCAACATTTAAAGATTTTGAAGACGAAGAACAACAAAGCCGCACAAGTGTCATTCTTCATTGAAGCCATTTAAAAATTCAGAAGAACAACAAGCACGCAAGTGTCGTTCTCCTTTGAAGACCTTCAAATCAACTGTTCGAGATCAAGCTTCATCGGCCCTCGATCGAAAGTCCAATCAAGTTTTCTTCAATCTTGAAGATTTGAAGAACATTCAACCACTGGTTCAAGATCAAGCTTCTGAAGCCCTTGCACCAACTTTTCAAGGAGATTTAATCAGAGGAAGATTTTATGTTATAATAGAATCAACCATAGAGGATTATATCCGAATTTTTCAAAATTAATAAAATTGATATTTGTTCCATATTTTGTTCTTTATTTTACAGATACAAAATTTTTGTGTACAAATGCGTCATTAATTTGGTTTATTTTGTAGAAAGCTGGTTCTTTAGAAGACTTCTTTGCAGAAAGAAAGCAGTGTAATTTAATCACCATTTCCTCCCTTGTTGTTCTTCATCTCCTTGTTGATTGAGAACTTTAGAAAAGCCAAAAATAGATCATGAATAAAGAAAATTGGGGAAAAAATAAAGAAGATATATGTGGTGCAAGAGAGTCAACATACCCTTTTCAGAGCTGATTAAAATAGTAAAGAATATATTATCTAACTTTGTCTGCATATCATGTGCAGTTTCCAAGTCCACTGTGCTAGAACAACATCTTAATCTAATAATATGCTTATCATTGTCACAAACAAAAATCTAATCACAAAATTCTCCCTCACAAACAACCCTAACTTCAGTATCTCTCTCCCATGATGTCAATGCCCGCTTCAAAAGAGACAAATCAGATCATTGGCTTGAGGATGCTGTTGGCCATGGTGGTGGTGGTGGGTTGTGGTTCCAAAAATTGAGGCTTTCAGGTGGTATTTTGAGTGTTACACTGGAGAGAGAAAGTGTATAGAGAGAGTGGTGGTTGGTGGTCGGCGGTGATGGGGTGGTGGTGGTGTCGTCGGCGACTGTGGTTATGTATAGGTGTGTGTAGGTATATGTTGTTGTGTATGATAGAGAGAGAAAGAGATGAAAATGAATTATAGAGATGAAAAAAAAAAAATCACTAATTGGTGCCTTCAGCATAAGAGAGAGAAAGAGAGAGTGTGGTAAATGGAAGTAATGAATAAGGGGTAAAATAGTCATTTTAATTAGCTGATATTTTGGAATAAATAGTGGTAAAATTGTCTTTTTGCACAAATTTAATGGTGTCGGTGACCAAAAAAACAAAATTGGACCTAAGTGATAATAATTTTCAAAAGGAATTTTAATATGATATTTGGCCAAACTTAAGAGGAGAGAGAGAAAAAGATGAGAATGATTTCGATAGATGAAAAAAAAAAAACTAATTGGTGCCTTCAGCAGGAGAGAGAGAAAGAGAGGAGTATGGTAGATGGAAGTAATGAATAAGGGGTAAAATAGTTATTTTAATTAGCTGATATTTTAGAATAAATGGTGGTAAAATTGTCTTTTTGCACAAATTTAACGGTGTCAGTGACCGAAAAACAAAATTGGACCGAAGTGATAAAAAATTTCAAAAGGTGTTTCAATATAATATTTGGCCAAATTTGAGAGGGTATCAGTGAAATTAGCCCAACAATTTATAATAAATTAAATATCATATAGCTGTAAAAAAAAATAATAATAATTTGTACTCAAGTTCTTCTACTTTGACAAATGAAACAGATGCATATTCATTTAAGTAAGAAAGCACATGCGAAGTCTATATAAAAAAATAGGGTAAAGTACAATGACACCCCTGAGGTTTCGAGTAAGGACAGTCATATACAAGTTGACATATTTTTAGACAATGACACCCCTTGTGAGATTTGCAATCCAAACATTACTTAAAAACATGTGAAAGTCTACTTTACACTTCACTCTTTTATTAATTTTAATTGTAAAATATCAAAACAATTAGATGACCAAACCACCCTCTTCCATCTTTCTCTATATACAAACTACATAGTTCCATTTCGCCACCACCTAACCCTCTTCCCCTCTCTTAATCTCTCTCTCTCTCTCTATATATATATATATATATATATATATATATATATATATTTGGAGAGAGAGAGGGGAAGATGGGTGGTGGTGGTGGCGCAATGAACGTCATATATATATATACGGCGTTTGTGATACCCTCGAATTTTCTGATGCGGGTTGGCCAGGCCCACGCCCGAATACCCGAGGATATCAAAACAATTAGATAATAAACGAACACATAGTATAAAAGAATAAATAGAAATAAATAAAAATTGCTGAGAGGAAACTAAAATGATAATCCAATAATGAAAACCTCAGAATAAATTTTTATATATAAGAACTATTCTGGTACATCCAATACAAATA